TGATGAACATGGACACGAACGAGCAGCTTTTCAGAACATGCCATCCCGTCCAAGCACCAGGCTGATTACTTCTTGGGGTGTCCAGTTACGTCCCCCGGCACTCAGAGCGCGGCAATTGTAGTTTCTGTAGATGATTCTCCTGTAAATTGTTATTATTTTAATTTAGTCGTTCTTGTTGCTTTTGTGCAGTAGATAAATGAGTATTTGTTTTTAATAAATTAATTTTAAGATAATTACATTTTGCGGGAGTCCCGCGATTCTCCCGCAACCCGCACATACATGAGGACCTTACCGCCAGCAGTCACCTATGAAATCTTGTCCCGCGCCGCACTCGGTACTCCCGCGGGAGTGCAGGTCTCTACAGTACATCACGGCCTCGGCATCCAGGGAGCGACTAGTGCTATAGGTGGGGATTCCCCGTTTCTACATTGCTGTGGTGACAAGCAGGCGGCGGGAATGCAGCGATTGGGGTGTCGACTTACAGGTAGGAAAATCCATTCATTTGTGTTGTTCAGGACCGGGATTTAGGTGACGACTAAGGGAATTTGATGACTTACAAGCGGCGACTTACACAAGGAATTTTAAAGGAAACATCATTAGGAAAAATCTGGACTTTTGCTTGAGCGTCGACTTGTGCACATTGACGAGTTACAAGCCGGCGACTTAGACCAGTTTTACTGTAATAATAAAGAGGTTTAAGCACTGAAAATTATTTCATTTTATTTCTCAACACAGAGGACAATTCAAGTAACTGATCACCTGCTTTAATCCCATTGTATTAACATAAGGGGCATTAATGACAACTAACATAGGGGTGGTATTCATATTAAAACTTATTTGCAGTTTCTATCTTAAAAAACTAAAAAGTTACACTTCATCTTTTAAGATCCCAATTCATCACTGGAATCCTTTGGCACCTCTAAAGGGACAACCAACTCCATACCCTGATGGGGTTAGTTGTCACATTGTGTCAGAGTGTCTTTGACGGTTAACTACTATCTGTTACAATACGTTCTAAAAGTAAAAGGGATACGCATTTAAAGCCAAGACCTCAAGTTTTCATTTCATGTAGGAATTACTGCTGAAAGATTTTTTGTAGATGAGCAATTCATGCATGAGTAAAAAATGTGACAACCAACCCCGGTCTCCCCTACTTAGTCCTGATGTTTTTCACTGGATATTAAAAGTACCCTTTGGGAGGGTCATTGTCTTGGAATATCACTGCAAAAATGAAGACAAAGGAGCATTCTGTTGATGTGAGAAACAAAATCACTGAAATGCACAAAGCAGGAAAAATGTCAAAGAGTTTGAATGTCCCATTAAACACTGTTGGATCCATCATCAGAAAGTGGAAGGTTCATCACAGCTCCCAGACCCTTACTAAGCATCAGAGAAAGACATTAATTGATGAGAGAAGGCTACTTACAGTAAAATCCAACGACACTCTCAGAAGTCTGCAATGCACTTTGGCTGAAACTGGAATGAAGGTGAATAGATTGACAATTTCAAGAGCTCTACATAAAACAGGACTCTATGGAAGGGTACCAAGAAGCCATTCGTACATTCCACATAAAAGCACATATGTCATTTGCTACAAAGCATGAAGAGTTTCATGGTCAGATGAAACCAAAATAGAACTTTTTTGCCAGACTTTAAATTGGTATGTGTGCTGTAAAACTAACACTGAAAATGTCTCAAGAAACACCATACCTACGGTAAAATATGGTGGTGGCAGCATCATGCTGTGGGGATGCTTTTTGTGTGCTGAGACTGTGGTCTTGTCAGAATTGAAGGGACAATGGATGGACAATGGATGGATTATGACCTGAAGCATAATCGGAATCAGATTCAGCTTTATTGGCCAAGTATGTTTACGGATACAGGGAATTTGTCTCCCGTTTGTCATTGTTCTCAGTGTACTTAAACAAGAAAGACAAACAAAAGTGAGACAAAAAAAAAACAATTAACTACAGTACGAACAGAAGAGACTTAAGGCAGAAGGACATAGTGCAAAGGTGCATTGTCCAAGATGCTGGACACTATGCTGTATATACATGAGGTACAGTGGATGCTTGGTGATAGCAGATATTGCACAAGTATTGTCCTTGACATTTAAGTGGTCATCAGAGTGATGGCCTGTGGAAAGAAGTGTCTGTCTCTTTTGGAGTACAGTGCTCTGTAGCGCTTGACAGAGGGGAGGGTTTCGAACAGGTTGTGACCAGGGTGTGATTGGTCGACAGTAGGGGTGGCACGGTTCACAAAACCCACGGTTCGGTTTGTATCCCGGTTTTAGGGTCACGGTTTTCGGTTCTGTACGGTTCTTGTTATTTTTTCTTTTAATCTTTAACA